AAAACAGAGCTTCTTACCACCCAGAGATTGACTGATACTCTCCTGAGTCTGGTTGGGTTTCTTAGAGACTCCTAGGATAGGCACATCTCTGGATTTCTGTCTTTACAGAAATCTGGATTTCTGTCTTTACAGTGGTTCTGTCCATCATAGAGTCTAAGCGGGCAAGAGTGAGACTCTCTGGGCAACTTCTTGTCCTGAAGTAAAAGATAGAGTGGTATACAGATGCAGTAGGGGCATAATCGATGGAAATGTATCAGAAATCAGAATGCTCTCCCTCCTCCTTACTGTTTATCTTAACCCTATTTACCCTTCAAAGTATTCCAAGAGCACCCTCTTCTATAAAACTTCCTCTGAGAATCCAGGCTACAGGATAATTTGCACAAAGCTGGTCACAGAGCAGACTGGTTTGACTGATTGACTACTTGACTGCAAAGAATTAAATGAGTAAAGATATAATTCGCAAGAGGTTTCTGGGGAATATGTCACTATCTATTTCTTGCTTGAATTATCACTAATAATTTCCTGGTTACACTAAAGACAGGAAAATATTTTAAGAGCATGCAAAGCTATTTATTTTATACTTGAAAATATATTCTTATCTTGCCTGTTTAGCCCTACTTCTATTCCCAAGTGCGAAAAAAAAAAAATCACCAAAAACTCATCTGTACAACTGTTGCCACCTATAGGTGACAAGTGTAGTATATTAATTTTGTCATAATTCTGATGAAGCACAATCTAAGAAGGAAATGGTGATGTTTATGGAACCTGCACAATTCTTGTCAAACACCAGTCTTCAGTAGGTTTATTATTATTGTGCCTCTGTAATTGTTATTTCAGATGCTCACCTTAAACATAATATTGGCTAATATTTGTAAAGTGTTTTTCCAAGATAGAGGTTAAAAGCTTGATCTCTACAGGCAGACTGCCTAGGTCCACACCCAAGGTCCACTGCCGCAGGACCTTAAACATGTCACTTCGCTTCCTCAAGCTTTGATTGCCTATAGGTAGAGATACTAATGGCAGCTACCCCATTGAATTGATGTGTGTGTGAAAACAGATAATCCATGCAATGTACTTAGCAGAGAGTCTGAGCAGAATAGGCATCAATTAAATGGTAACTGTTATTACCATGAGTGGTTAGCAGAACACTTTCACATCAGTTGCTGCAAACTAATGTGCACTATTTTGTGACCATTTGCCAGATAGATCATTAACACATTACTATTTGACCTCAATCCCTCCTTATATTTTAAGTCTGTGATATTTGACTTCAAATTTTTAAAAATATCTGAGATCTGACAAGACAGGGGGCTGTTTTGGTATGTTTCTATAGATAGGGAGGTAAGCCACTACAGTTTTCATCTCAGCTGGCAGGAGAAGCCCAGGCCAACAGCTGAGACTCTTCTGATGCTAGAGGATGTCTCCATTGAGAAACCACTGACCATTTAACACCAGGCTAGGCCTTTAGGAAGGCTGGAGACCAGACAGGGGAGGTGAGGCAGGACAGTTTAAGAAAGGATAATTCATGATTCCTAGCTCAGAAACTCTAACAGTGCAAATACTGCAATTTGACATGCGTGCTGGGTTTTTTGCTGTTGTTGTTTTGTTTTAATATGAGCCAATAATTAAAAAGCAGGGAATTCTAAATATCAGCAAATATTGACCTAGATTTACGCCCTCACCTTTAAAATAATATCTAGACACACATATTTCTGCATAGCAACAATATGCTAGATTTAAGTAGCTGCTGCCATTTTATTTATTTATGTATCTATTTATTGAGTCAGAGTCTTACTCTGTCACCCAGGTTGGAGTGCAGTTGCACGCCACAACTACTGCAGCTTTGACCTGCTAAGGCTCAGGGCTCAGGCGATCCTTCTGCCTTAAACCCCCAGGTAGCTGGGACTACAGGCATGCACCATCACACTGTTGGGTTTTTTTTTTTTTTTTTTTTAATTGTAGAGACCAGTTCTCACCATGTTATCCAGGCTGATCTCGAACTCCTGGGCTCGGGCACTCCATCACCTCAGCCTCCCAAAGTACTGCGATTACAGGTGTAAGCCACCATGCCTGGCCTGCTGCTACCCTTAGATACATCACATGCTTCTGAGCTGACCACAGTCCTCACCACTCTCCCGTGGCTTCCCAGCCTAGAGATCAAATGCCAATTGACCCTTAGGACACTTTGGAACAACTGATGCTGTTCTTATAGTCAAGAAATATTTCTACACTCACCTTTCAGCAAAATTGTAAAAATAAAAGGAAGCCTGAGGAGATAATTTGTTTGTTTGTTTTTAACAATCGGCTCCTTTTATTTCCATAACTTCCTGGGCCAGGTAGACCTTTGTTATAATTAAGTGAAGAAACCTACAACTTGAAGCATTTAGAAAACATGGTGCACTGTCTTTTAGACAGTGGGTGTTGCACTGGTAGTTAACTCTTCTCATCTCCACCTTCACACATGGAATTATACTTTTTCACCTATCTTCCCTCCAAGACTACAAGTCCAACACCAATGGCTCTCAAATTTTAGTATATATTAGAATTACCTGGAGGGCTTGTTAAATACATATTGCTGGACTCCAGGGTTTCTGATACTGTAGGCCTGGGGGGATCCAAGAACTTGCATTTCCAACAAGCTCCTGGTGATGTTGATGCTGCTGGTCTGAGGAACATACTTTGAGAATCACCGTTCTAGAATTAGAACCTGGCCTTACTTCCATTTATCGAGCACCTACTACTGTGTGCCCGTCTTAAAATGCTTTCTTTCTTTCTTTCTTTTAACATATTTTTTATTTTAAAATTGTGGGGTACAGTTAAGGGTTAGGTATACAAATATGCATTGTGCATGTACCCTTGTTGATGAGGTGTGCCCCCGTCCCCAGACAGATATTGACTACCATTAATCCCACAAAATGCTTTATTTCTAATACTTGACTGCAATCCTGAAATAAAGACATGTCTTATCACCATTTTATACCTGAAGAAGGAGGCTATGGGCACTCACACAGCCAGTGGAAGGGCCTGACTGAGATTGAAGCTCAGTCTGTCTGCCTCTAGGACCTCAAATATCACCTGTAGGACACAAGTCTATTCAGCTGTGTATCCTCATACCAAAACCTTCCACCTGCCTCATGGTAGCTTTACTTACTGAGTGTTTGTTGAATGAATTTGAGATCCATGCAGACCAGGACGAGGCAAGAAAAATATATGTGGTTTTGAAGAAAAAGTGAGAAGACATTCAAGTAAGGAGAAAATAGCATTGAATGCACTTTATGTACCTATGTTTAGTAAATTTAGGCAAGCATTTACTGCTCTCTCTGTATTATTAATATTTGTGCTATGTAATTATTTTTTTAAAAAGAATGCCTAAAAATTAGCATAGCTTTCAAATGGAGGTAGTCCTAATTGGGGAACTACTTTCCTGTAATCAGCTAGGAATCTGTCCTCAGCCCACTCTGGTTTCAAGGTAGCCATTGGAGATTGCGCATTTGCTCCATGGGTAATGCTCCTGCACATTAATGATATCACGAAATAAGCACCAGTTCAAGGATGATTTTCAAATATTCCTGTAGAATTATACCATTTCCCATAGCAGAGAATCTGCCTGTACCTGTTCTGGGGACACTGGAACTCACCCACTCCTGCCTCTGGCTTTTCTGTTTGTGTTAACAATTGAATCTGTGAGAATCCACAGGTTTTGGCTATATCTACGTTCCCTGATCAAAACATGTTTCTCACGGCACCTTTGTAAGTCGAGCATGACGAGGCAGGGGTTGGGAGCCCAGGGGGCAATGGAACTGCACATATAGAGATAGTTTGGAAATTTATTTAAGTGGAAGATTTGGGTAACACAATGGAAAACAAACAGGACATTTTGCCCTTTATTACACAACAGCATGATTTAGTGGAAGGAACAAGATCATGGAGGGCAGCCAGACAGAAATTCAAATCTTGTTTTCTGCCACTTGCTGGACAACCTTGGGCAAATCGCTCTGTTGCTCTGAGCCTTGTTTTCTTCATCTTTAAAATGAGGATGTTTACCTTGCACGTTTGTGGAAATGTTGATAGAATCTGTCAAGTGTCTTTTATCTAGTAGCTGGTTTGTACATGGTAGCTCTTATTATCATCTCTAAGTCCCTGGACCTGCATCTTTCTTGTGTTTGAATGGAATTTTTGCCAGAAAGTGGAAAAGAAGATGAGAACTGTTGTAGAGATGTTAACACCTCCTACCATGTGCTATCACCCTAGCCCTCGGGAGCCACTCGAGCAACTGAACATATTCATGTTTACAGAGTTCCCCTATGATAATTATTGAAATCAACTGTAGGACCATCGTACAGGGTGGCAAGCTCATCAGAATCCCTATAAAATTGGTATTACCAGAGCCTCCTGGAACAGAGGGGTTTCTAAGCGGTAGACCTGCCACTGTGATTGTTGAGCCCTTAGGTCATCTGGGACCTGCATCCTGGAGATTTCTTTCAAATATGTGAAATCTTGTTAAGGGACAAAAGACAAAAATGACAGTGCTTCTAAACATGTACTTAAATTTTATGGCAATTTAAAAGATTTTTATGTCTTTTTTTTTTTTTTTTACAAATTACCGTAACTTCTGGCTGAAATTCCATCCCTAGCCATATATTTTTAAAGTACAACTAATACTTAGCAAGGAAAGAGAGGAGTTTGAAACTTTGATTAAGAAAAATAAGGCACTTTACCTGAACAAATTTCAAATGGATCCATTTAAAATGAAATTAAGTGGCACTTAACTGGTTTGCAAATTGGGACCTATTTATCTCAGTAAAATGATTAAAGTCCTGATTTATCCCTAAAATTGCCTTTATTATTATACTTAATTATACTAGAAGGTTGTTAAAGACTTGTAGGCTTTTCTCTATTCCTTTAAACTGTACCTTATACAGACAATAATTGAATATTGAATAGGATAACTTGATTTTCCAAAGAAATATGTTTCTAATATTTTTCTCTTTCTATTGCAGAAATTGAAACAACTTGAAGAAACAAAAGATCCTGAGACTAGATTATCTAAAATTTCCCTGGAGTCGTTCAATAAATTTAACAGCAATACTGTGATTTTATTAAAAAAAGAGAAGAACTCTCTGAACAAGGTTGAAGGACAAAAGGAAGAAAAAGAAAAACATGAAGAAGCATCTTTGAGTAGCTCAGATAGGCCTGGGGTAGATAATTTGGAATCTTTGAGTGATTCTTTATATGATAGCTTCTCTTCCTGTGCCAGTCAAGGTTCGAATGATGTATAAAGGACTTTTCTTTCCTTAGCAAGCTTAAGCTGGGAGTTGAGTGCTTAAGAAACGGGGGTGGGGGAGGGGAGCTGCTCCTGTAGAGATGACAACAATAAACTATTGCAACACCAGAGCTTACATTGTCAAATTCACAGCAGGCAACCCACCAGAGCTTACTTGTCTGACAGGGCAATAAAGAGAGACTCCATTTATTGTGTTTCAAGAGGATTCAAAGTAAACACACCTACGATATAGAACACTTAATTTTGCACTTTTTTTGAATAATTGTACAGAAGTTGTAAATTTTTTGGAAGAGAAATTATATTCGTAGCAAAAAAAAAAAGACAGCAATAAATTGAATCAGTGCCATGCTCTTGAAATGATGTACTAAGTCTTAGAAGTTGATGATAATATATATATAATATATATATATTTTTAATCCCAACTAAAGTTTCTGTTACATTCATTGTCCTAGTCCTCAAATTATTTGTGGGTATACTCCATAAACCTAAAACAGGGCCTGCAGAAAAACCATAGGGTTATCGTCATCTCCATCTCACAGTCTTTGTTTGATAGAAATGTTAATTTTAGTGCAATTTCAAAATTACTGGAAAGTTTCAGGTGATAGTAATAAAAAATCAAATTACTATCACCTGCTTTTATTGAAAAATGAAAGGGTTCTGAGGTGTGGACACTGATTGGGAGAGTGATACTGTATCAGAAATGACCTAATTCTGTTTCTAATAGCAGATTTTCCCGTCAGACATTTCTTTATATCTTCTACGTAGTGCTTCTCTATGATCCTGAATATTATTTTTTAACTTCCTGCTCTTTTTATTAAAATCTGGGCACTCTAAAAATAAAAGCAAATTTCTACTTGCAATGATCACTTTTTAAAAAATAAAATGAATGGTTGGTGCTATGAAAAACTCTTACTTTTTAATATCCTTTTTTTTCTACAAAGACTGTTTATATGTAAGGATAAATTCTATTTTAAAAGTTATGTGTATTTTTTCTAGATGTGAACTATTTATAATTGCTTTTGTACAGGAGCTTGTAAACTAGGCATAATAGAAATATTTTTAGGATCTATGTGGTTACTTTAGCACAGACTTGTTTCTTTAAAGAGTATTGTATAGTCAGTGTTATTTGGTTAATTTGTGCAATTTGTTATATTTGAATTTTATCTTAAATGAAAACTATGTAAAATGTCCCTGTCTTTCAGACTTTAAAAAATCCTTTTGTTTCATTTCTGAATAAAAGTTATATCACAATTGCACCCTCTGAAAAGAACTTGCTCAAGGACCTTTTGGCCCAAGTACTTGAATCATGACTCACACGTGCTCCAACGATGGATTTTCCGAAGGAATAAATAAGCCGGCCTTTTTGCCCTGGGAGAGAGTAATTTAGCCAATTGTGAGATCAGAGTCTGCAGACAGCCGAGTAATGGCCAAAGCATTTCAGTCTCCCGAGGGGTTAACCAACTAGAAATAAAAGGAAGAGGGGGCAGAGAGAGAAGGAGCCTGAGGCAGATATGGAACCATCTTTGCAGAGGATTTACAAGGAAAGTCATTTAAGCGCCTTTCCAGACCGGGAGCTGGAAATGAATGATCAGCCTCCCGGCCTGAGCGAGCTTCCCCCGAGAGGCGGCCGCGGGAGAAAAGGGTGAAGAGGGGCAAAGCTTCGGAGACGATTTCTACCGAAAGGATTGCTCCCTAGGGATTTGGGGAAAGAGGTGGGAGTGTGCGGATTGGGGGCGGGGGCACCAACGCGCTCGAGCGGGCGGGCTCCCGCACCACCTGCTGCAAGGCTCGGCGAGGAAGGTGCAATAGCACCGGGGCGTCCCGGGAGCACGCAAGGTGGGTCGCTTGGACTTTGCAGAAAGACGAGGACTGTGAGGGTTGTGGGGAGAGGCCAGTGGCCGAGCCCCAGGCGGGGATGGCGCTCTTGCTGGAGAGGACGAAGGAGTGTCTACTAATACCCGGTGGCTTTGGGGAGAGCAGGGTAGAGCTGCCCGGCCTTTTGGAGAAAGGAAATGGAGAAGAGATACCCTCTTCTTCACTCTGATTTGCTTTCTGGTGGGATCTCGCGGCAGTTGTCCCCGGGGGGCGGCTTTCTCCCAGGCTAAGCGATCAAGGCGGTGTCAACGCACCTCCCCGCGGTGCGCGCAGGCGGGCAGAGGGAGGACGACCCGGGTAAGCGTGCCGTACTGGACAGGGTCCCCTCCACACCCCCACCCATCCTGCCCAAGCCAAGTCGGGTATTGACGGAGGGGCTCCTGGGGAGAGAGGAGGCACGGCTGCACGGGACACCCTGGGGAGACTGCGGGTGTGCAACTTCGTTAGGCGCGCGGGAATGCGCCCTCCTCCCGCCAGCCTCCCGGGGCGCCGGGCTCCAAGCGGTCCACAGCTGGGCAGCCCCAGGTGAGCGGGCA